AAAAGGTGCTAATAGTACACTTGCGACCAACCGCCGGCTCAGCAGACTTAACTCAATCAGTTGTAAAGTCACCGTGAAGCCCAGCCAAAAGCAACTGATGAGCTCTTTAAAAATACAAAATCTCTTGTCCAATGCCTAATGCGACTTTCATTGGGGAAGATCCTGTGTTACGAATATCTTTCCAAGGTTGGACTTTCCCACCAATGGCCGACGTTTTTTCTCCTAAGCCCCACCCCCGTCAGATCCTCGCCCATAAGAGCGACCGTTTTTTCTCAAGGAGTTTTCCTAAGGAGTTTTTTCATTGTCTGCTCTTAAAAAAACTATTTTTCATCTCATGACTCAGGTCAATTGGCCATGTCAAGAAACTGAGACACTAGATTTCTGCTACCACGAAACATGTACAAATAGGGAACTCAAATGCAACCTGCCAACATATCCCTCAAATATATTGATGCTGATACAAACTGGGTAAGACCACTCGATGGAAAGCACATGGAAAAGTGCTGCTCATTGATTTCAGGAAGACCTTTGACCGGTGTACATACCAGCGTCTCCTGTACAACTTAAAATTAATGAACACTGGAAGAAAACTGCTAAAATGGCTCGGCGATTTCCCCTCGGTCGTTTCCAATTTACTACTCTAGGCCAACAACAAGTAGGGCACACAATTACATGCACAGATTTCTCTCGTCACCGAGGTTGGATTTTTAACCATTGGGAATATAAGATTTTAAACAACTTAATTTCCTTCAATAAAGAGACAATATCTTTCTTCTGATGTTCCGCTTCAGCTTTTGCTCCCATCAGGAAGGAGGTTGGCAACCATCCTCCCGCATATTTTCACCGTATAACATGTTTACTTACTTGCTGTTAGTAACACGTGAAAATGATATTTTGGTAACCTGCGGTGCGGCACATAATTCTGGCACACGCACAGACCAAGCATCTAAATACGCGACTTATGTCATCACATCGGCAAATACAATCTACTTGCTTGGGTTGCCAGTCCAGCTGAACTAGAATATCGCAGTATTATAGATACTGGTAGAGCTTTGCTGTAAATGTTTCAATAAGGACCCTGGTAAGAAACAATTAAAAATTTCAATAACCCATATCTGTTAAGAACGGTTTCATGCACGAAAATTCCTGCCAGGCAATCAATCTGCGCACACATCGGTGCTCGCTGTCCAAAGGGATAAAGTAGTATTAATAGGGGACTTTGTGTACAACTTTAACTGTTGCCATGGTCCTGGCGGAGTAGGTTTCTACGCCAACTTACAACAGA